CAGTCTCTCTATGCAGGCTTTTGCATTTTGTTGCAGTTCAATGTTGTGATTCTATTCTGTGTTGATAATTTCAATTAACTGGCTCTTGGTGGTGATCTCACGTTTGACGATCGGCCGTTTGGTGAATTCCCATCATAGGTTTACCCCAATATAGAGTTCCCACATGAGTTCCCAACCGAGTTCTCTAGGGGGTTCATATCTGGTGAGTCCCTCGGCCATGACAAAAGAAATTTTTTTTTACCAGGAATGCAGTAATACTCCTTACTTTGTGGTATGGCGCAGAATCGTGTATAAAATGCATTCGTAATCACCAAGGAACCATTCTGTGAACTTCGAGATGTCGCAGTAGCAGAGTTTCTAGTACTCGCTTGTACTGGTCATGCCGCATAGACCCTTCTACAATGTAAAGGCCCGATGTATGTACCCTTCATTGAGATTACAAACCACACCATGACACTACCCAGGTGTTTTTACTCTCTCAGTTAGGAAGTTTGAAGAGAACTGAACCTCAGGGCTTTGTCCGACAAATGAACTTAAGTCGAACAAAATCTGAAACGTTGATTCGTCAGAGAAACAGTGAGACAATTGTTTGAATAAAGTTAACAACATTATAAAGAAAAAAAACTTGGATTGAGGGCCTGGCCCCTAGGCCACCTTCCCGGGATCCGCCGCTGTTCAGTAATCTGTTTTGCCTACCCTGAAGAATTTTCGCGAGCCACCACTGCATTTTACCCTGACCCGCCCTTACCCTCCACCTTTTTCTCACCGCCCTGCCACACCTCGCCCTGCGTCGCCTGGCGTCACGTGATCGTTCCTTTCTCTTCCTTGTTCTATTCTCACTTCTTACTTACTCACACTTACACACGCTAGTACTACACTACTACTCTTGAGGAGTTTGGTTTCAAAATGAAACTTTTCCATTCTAGTCTGTTTTGAGAAAAAAAAGAAAATGTCGTATCATTTTTTTAAAACATTCTGCTACAAAATGTTTCAGATTAATTCCCTTGGCTAGTGAAACTAGCATAATATTATAAGATAATTCAAGAATATCTTGTCGTTGTGAAGAAAACTGAGCTAAAAATTTAGATAGGTCTTATTTTGAAATTTAATTGAATTTTTTGTATTTTTGGTGAAAACGTATTTTTTCGTGAAAACAAACTTATTTAATTTAAATATTTTTATAAGAGTATTATTACATTTTTTATTTCTTTAATTTATGTGGCATTTTTCAGCAAATATGAGGATCAGCAACCCCTAACTGCTGGCTTTCATAATATTCATCAGTATCAGCTTGATCAATGCTTAGGCCAGTTACAATTTTATAGAATGATAATTTTACATTTTGATATAATATGGCGCCAAAACACAGGGACACAAGGATCTCTGATTGCTGGGTTGGAAAGATCGTACTTTGCATCGAAATGAATATTATTGAATAATCGCGTTCTGATATGAACGCGCATCATTATGAAGCCCTCTGAAGTGCACAAAAAACGCGCTTTTACAAATCATTTTCAAAAACGACGCATAACTGCAACGGACCCCAATTGAAACCAATATCTCACTTATCGCCAAAGGTGGAAAAGTCGCGTTTTGAAACTAGACCCCTCGCTTGTCGGGAGACCAGTCAGGAGCTTAGAACTTGTCCTGGCTGGGGATTTGCTCCGCTGGTGGGAGTTACCTGGCTCAGGAAAACTCCACAAGCCGAGGCGCCATTCAGGGGGGGGAGATCACCGGCCCTTCCCGCGATAGAAACATGCGTTACACTTTCGGAACCTTAGAAATTGCCGTGTTCGGAATAACTAATCAAACAATGAATCAATCAATCCTGCGTAAAACATAGACAATTTTTATACAATTATTTTCTTAAAAACTACTAATTTTTTCTTTAAATTTTCTCTTCGTATGTGCCAAAGGAGTGTATAAAAATGATGCTGGTACCATTTGCGACGAACTGTATTTTCGATAATTGCAAGAAATTACTGGAGAGAAATAAATAAGTCAATAAGCTAACAATATGTAATTAAATCAATAATTTTATGTTAAGTTAGTAAACAGTTAAGAAATAAGTCATAAGTCGTAGTTAATTGGTAAGTAAAAGGACAATATAATAAATAAAATAAAACTGGCATAGTAATATGCACATTAGGGGGGGAGGGAAGGGGGGATCGAAAATATAAGGGCAGAGGCGCTGGTGCGGACGATCTTCTATGGCGCTGTTTGACGGCGGGACGCCCGCGCCAGAAAATAAAATAGTTTAAATAAACGTCGGATAGATTAGAATGTACTCGGCTTCTGACGGCAGGTTTTTCCCCCTTCAGGGTTTTTTTCCTGAGCCGTACCTTATGGTCTCTTTTCCGCGGCTTTGATGCGAGGGAGAGACCATTTGGGGTGAATACCAGAATTCGAAAGATTAGAACGCGAAAGGATGTAGGTATTGTAATGGCTTAAAGGCCTCCGGCCTAGCCACATAGGATCAAGTAAGCTAATTTGTCTGTAATAATTACCTATTAAATAAATAATAATAAAATAATAATAATAATAATAATAATAATAATAATAATAATAATAATAATAATAATAATAATAATAATAATAATAATAGGTGGCAAACAAACCGGATTTAGTTAGAAATATTTGGAGAAAAAATCGTGTCCACTTATAGATGTTGCTGTACCGTGCGATCAAAACGTCATAATCAAAGAGGCAACACTCATGTTAAATACAAGAGTTTGGAAATCGAGATCAGCCGAATGTGGGGCGTAAAAGCACACGTCGTCCCGATAGTTATCGAAGCTCTGGGATTTCTTCTGCAAAATTTGTGTTAGATCGTGGCGAAACTTCCAGGTCATCCAAAACCGAGGAAGTGCAAGACATTGCTTTGTTTGGAACAGCCCACATTTTGCGCAGTGTTGTAGAGACACCGATAGTCGGTACATCTCCTCCTTAAAAGGTTGGCTGTAACCCGGAGTAGACTTTATAATCAAACAACCCATCACATATTTAGTCTTATATTAGAGGAATAATAATAATTGAATTAAATTAATGCCTTATTTTACGTGGCGAGACTCGGCGCATCAGGCCCACTCTTAAGTCTGACCACGCAAATTTCGTTACGCTCCAACTTTCACCAACTTGGAGAGAAAGGAGGTATTTGTCGGGCGAGAAACTGGCGATTTGAATTTAGCTCAGAGGCGTCATTTAGGCTTGAGGATCTTTTACATGCAAGTAAATCTACTAATATGGGACAGCCGGCTTTACTTCCCCTCCGAAGGAAGGCGTACGAAGGATTTTTTCGCCCTCAAAAATACAGAGCTTTGATCTGGTTTGAACCCGCCAACTTGGGTAATAATAATAATAATAATAATAATAATAATAATAATAATAATAATAATAATAATAATAATTCTAGAAGCATACGGGAAAATGGTCAGTTCCCCACCAGTAAGCGTGAATAGCACCTCCCGTGCCCCGAATGGCGCACCGGAAGCAAATTCGTGAGAGACGGAGGGACGATTGTTGGTTTCCAGGTTATTTGATGTCAGATGATATCTTATGCCCCATTATCAGAATATTATTTAATTGCCATGGTATCATTGGAAGAGTAGACGTGTTAAGGTCAGCAAAGGAAAATCATTTAAATGGGCTGCATTTGGGACTGTCATGTTATTAAGTCGTAGCTGATCAATATAGTATAATTATGTTAAAGATTAATAAAATATATGAATATACCTGATCATAAATTGTTAGATGTAAATGATGTACGCAATGAGATTTTTAGCATTAAAATAACATACGAAATCCCGATCAGTAATTGTTTTTTATTCCCATTCACGGAAGTTTTCTGTGACATAAAGACAAAAAGAAACATTCAAACACTCTCCTGTTTATGAACAAAGTCAGCATAAATTTTCAACAAAAAAATACAAATAAGAAAAATATCAATTTTTAAGTAGAATTGTGATTTTTAATTTCTGATTTTAAATATTAAATTATTTTACTTTATCCAAAAGTCTTCATTTCAAAATCATCGAAATGTTCAAAAACACAACTGGAACGTAGAAATCCCCACCGACGGGGGAATGAATTGTTAAATGACAATGACATTCACAATTGTTACTTAAAAATGTGTGCACTTCTGTCTTGAAGTCGCTGAATACTCAAATAGAATTAGCGCTCTTGACCGTTTAAAGCTGTTAACCGTTTAAAGCTATAATAACCGTCAATTGGCACAGTAGTCTGCCCGCCAAGTCGCGGCGTGGTTCGGAATTATCGGCGCTCGCGGGCTATCCCATGCAGGCGGCGGCACGTCGCGGGCTCCCACTTTCACACGCAACAAACAGCGAGAAGTCTCTCTCTCCGTGGGCTCTGACGTTATATTACACACTAGATAATAATTTGCAACTAGTTTTTCGAAACGGTAATAGAAAATAAAGTTGTATTTATTGTTCGCCAAACATGCAAAATCCACATGCAATTGTCAATTGAAAATTGTATCTTTTACCAGCACAAATTGGTATTCAAGATACATTAGACAACGAATAAGATTAAAACATCCGACATGTTTGAACGAAATCATCAATTAAAAGATGATTTTCTGTTACTCTGTTTTTTGAGACGAAACTGATATGGTATTGTCAAAGCATGCTAAAAGCATATAATCACACGTTTTCCTGATACGAAAATTCATTGACAGCTCTAAACTTCTTTTGTAGAACAGTTTGATTTTATTAATTATAATGTCAGTTATATCAGTTTATCATTATTTTACGGTATCGTTTGAAAATACGAGAATTTTTGACTTTGAAGTACATGATTAAAAATTAAGTATGCATCTACACGTCTTTATTATTATTATTATTATTATTATTATTATTATTATTATTATTATTATTATTATTATTATTACTATTATTCTTATTCTTATTATTATTATTAAGAAGAAGAAGAAGAATAGAATAAATATTATATTGCAAAAACATGAGAAGAAAATAACTCACCTCTTCCAAATTTGCTCCTTACGGTGTAAGACAAATTTGTAAATGTGATGGAGACATTTTTCTTCGGCGATAGAAAAGAGGGCCGCGACTGGCGTAGAGCTGGGTCTCCCCTCTCTTCGCAGTTCATTTGTCTTGGGCTCTTCGCCTCGCACGCCATGTTCCCTTCTTCAGCTGACGAGCGACTGAACTATCAGCGAGATAACGGCCACCTCCGAAGGGGCAGCTCCCCACCTCGGAGGCGCGCCCACAGCACAGGTGTGATCTTCATATCACAATCGCGCAGACACGTGTCCATTGGAGAAAAAAGCGGAGATAAAGCTCGTCATTGTGCCGAGCAACAGGTGTTGGATTCATGAAGCTGAGTAAGCACGTAAATCACCACTTCAGATTCCCTGCCTAGAAAAAAGACAATACAAGTAATTGTGATTTAGAACCGCTTTGGAAATGCACGCCAGGCTGAAATATGCGTTTAGTCTGATGTTTCACCAGTTGATGGAGTGATTGTAACATTTGGCTAATTATTATTGTTATTATTATTATTATTATTATTATTATTATTATTATTATTATTATTATTATTATTATTACTATTATTGAAAAAAGAGTTTTGCTTGACTACATTATTGTTCGATGACATTTTTGCTTGTTTCAAGCCTCAGTAAATAACATATAAGTAAACTTATTAAATAAGTAAATCGCAAATAACGGCATTATATTATATTACAAAAAACGTTTTGAAAAAAATCATATTTATAATGATTTAAATGTCATGCCAATCTATTTTGTTTCTAAGATACTAAGGTCAACAGGAAAGTACCATGGAAGATTCCTTATATAATATTCAAATTCCTTTGTATTATAATCAAATACGTATGTTTCACATGAAAGGGACACAAGGCAAGGAACCTTACATTATATTTCTGGCAAGGAACTTTACATTAACCTCGTTTGGTTTGGCCCGAATGTTCCTATAGTATGCAGTTTTTTTTAAATTCGATTATCTTTCAAACTCCGTAAGTAACCCATTTTGAAACCTATTTTGACATGAGTACAATGATCGTAAAAGGATTGTTAATATTTGCTTTGGAATAGAAACTGCGTAAGTGACACACTGGCTTATGTGGCTGAGGGCATAACCTGATGTCACAGCAGTGCCTCTGAACCGGTGCTCCTAGGATTCGAGATCCAACTGTGAGGCAGGATTTTCGACACTAGCTGAACCGCTCGGTCGATTTCAGCCCTGTCTGGAGGCGATCCAGCGATCGACAGCATCGTAGTTTGCGACCTGCGTAATCAGTAATTTTCCGTAGTTTCTCCGATCAACGCCACGCGAAGACTGGATCTGTACCCTATCAGGCCATTGACCGCACACGATCTCTCCCTCTTCCTTGTCCTATTGTCACCCTTACTTCAAGCCGACGTGTAGGTTGGTCACGGAAATATGGAACGTGTAGGTTGGTCACAGGACCGGATGTCACCATCTAGCAGGGATGATGACCGTGATAAAATTTGAACTGAACTTACGAGACTAATGACCGCTGCAGTTGACACTGATAACCAATCATCCAGGCAGTTAGCAGTGACGTTATTTGCATTCACAACTTACGAGGCGATATCTCAGTGATTTACTGTTACCATGAGGGTATTGCAATCAAATAATGAGATATGTTCATTTTTATAATGACCATACTGAAAGCATTCATGAAAACGCGAACATGTACACATTCCCAAACATGTGTTTTGCCCAAAACAAGAATATTTTTAGTGTTAATGCTTCTTGCACTTGTCAAAGACAGATTTCATTCTTTAGACCGGTACTTCCTATATGGAGGCCACACTTTCCTTCTTCCTGGCACAGATTTTTCTGTCATCAAGAGTTATCTCTTGATGTAAAGTTATGTGATAGTCAACACAGTGATGGGGTACGATATTTTCCCTGTTTGTAATGCATCCTGGAATACTAGAGTTACAGTAACAGTGGTAGAAGGTAATGATATTGTTGATTATAAAACCTGATGTAAATATTTATTACTTTTGGCACTCGAACAAAGTAGATGCATGAATCAATAAATCATATGAATATGGTTTAGGTTTCTTTTTCGACAATATTCAAATGTGTATTCTGCGTTAAAATACCATGTGTTATGGAGTTTTAACCTTATCTAAGTGCATTTTTATGAATAATAAAAGTTTATTACACTTCCTTGATGTCTTTTCATAAGTGACAATCCTTAAAAGCAAAACATTTTTAAAATTATTTATGGTTTATTCAGCAATCAGCTTTTTTCTGTTTTCCACAAAAAAATCCATTTTAGGACTTAAAAGGATTCAAAAGTTTTCGATTCAAATATAGAACAGTTTCACATTTGGACACATAAAACGAACTAAAGAATCTCGATTACGTTCTAGTCTTACTACGTACATACGACGTAAACAGAAAGTACTGTAATGCTGCGACAGAAATCGGCGGTTTTCGGAAGAAAACTCATATTGTGGGGCCCTGGTATCGAAAAGTCGATACATTTTGTTCTTATATGTAGTAAATTACTTCCGCTAACACCTTGTGTAAACAGAAACCGCATTCTCTGTTTCCTTGATACCAAAATATTGTTTGTAAGCGAAAAGACCAGCCGTCCGGCCGATTGTACCCAACACTTGCGCTTAAACCAATCAGATGATTTTATCCAAAATTGATGTTCTCAGATTGATTTAGACGAACTCGAGGCCCTGCGAGTTTGAAGCAGATATTTTGATTTTTGGTGATACTTTACATCAAGCCGTAATAACATATTTCCAAATAATTTCTAAATAGTTTTGAGTTCGTTCAGATCTATCGGGGAATATCAATTTTGGAGAAAAATGCTATGAACGATTTAGGCGCTAACGTTGCACCCAGAAGACGGACAGTCAATACACTGCATGGGCTACAACCCCACTCACTCTTGTGGCACCAGGAGGATTGCTCCCCAGAATGGGCTCCTAAGCTCTTTGGCCTAATCCTCACTCCCTCGGGCGTAAAATACCTCGCACCTTCGGGATGGCATCCGAACGCAGCCCCCAACCGGGTACAGGATACATCTTGTTCCTGTAAAATAAATTACTTCCCCTAACACATTGTGAACTCAGAATTACTCATTATTTGTGAGACCTTGATACCGAAAAATCGATTGACGGCAAAACATGTCCGTCCGTCTCTCTGTGGTCAACGCTAAACCGTTCAGACGATTTTCTCCAAAATTCGTATTCCCTGTTGGATCCAAACGAACTTTAGGCGCCACGAGTTTTAAATTGTATATTTTGTTTTTGGGGGGTTCTTTACGAGAATTTTTAAAAACATGTTCTACTTTTTCTAATTAATGGCTTCAAATTTTTTGATTGAACGTTGTTTTCGGATAGAGTAGAGAACGCTTAAAGAAAGCGCGTTCAAAGTTGTGTGTCTTCCTACAACTGCAATATTAAAGATAAAGATTTTTTTCTTGATCAAGTCTATCTTTCAAAGGCAGATCCAGCCATACGGTTATTTACAATTGTTCAAAAATATGAGTAGTTTCCGCGTAATTTTGCGTGAAATAAAGGCAATGCTTTCACAATTATTTTCTCGGAAACGGCTTCAATTTTTTTCGTGATTTTTTACTCGAATGCAGTGAAGGGCGAAATTAGTGGTGCTAGCGAAACTGGTGGCTTTCCCGTATTAGTTTTCCATTTCCTTTGGCCTAGCTACACGTACTTGTCACATACTATTGCCAGCTCCTTCCTAATAGTAGAAAGGAAATATTATTTTAAGAATATTAAAGGCAGTAAAACCTCGTCCTCGATGGCAATTCTCTTTGAAAAATTTGAAGCCGTTTTTAAGAAAATGGCGTGTAAGCGCTAGTTTAAATTCGAAATTTGAACAGAAAATTGTTGAGTTTTCGAAAAACGTTATTTCAATCACTTTAACTTACAACTACAATAGTGTTTAAAAATTGCAAAAAATGTGCATATGAATGGCATGAGACAACTTTCAAAAAAATTCAATTATTTATTTTCTTTAAATACCTCGAAATGAACTTTACGTTATATTAAAGAGTGCAATTAGCAATATCCGTTCGAAAAGTTTGAAGAAAAAATTTGGAGTTGTTTTTGAGAAAATGGAGTTTGGGCGTTTCGGAAAATGCGGAATTTTGAGCTAACTTTCATAGAAGACGGTCCAGTTATCCACAAACTGTACATGGCATTATTTAAAGCACATATACGCATAAATATAATAATGTGAAGAAATTTCCGCTAATATAATTTTACCATGAGAGAAGTCAAAATAGTTACATTTTTGTTATTTTTGAAGAAACAAAGGAATAGAGTAACATGACGTTTATGTCATCTTATAGACTATAATTAGTACTGTCCCTACCAAAAGTTTAAAGAAAAAATTTTGAGCCGTTATTGAGAAAATCTTTACGTTTTTGTAATTTTTAAAACTGCACATACTGCACACAATATTGCGCGAGAACTACTAAAAACTTCAAAAAAATGTTTCTGACCTTATTGAAAGAACTCACTATGGAGAACAAATTTTATACGAAGGTAAAATATCTATCTTCCATTTTATAGTTGTAAGTAGACTTCCGAATTCTTTTTAAAATTTTCGAAAATTCAAAGTTAAAGCTGAAAATTGGACTTATATTGCTCTATACTTACAAGAAATTTTAAGAACAAATTTGGAACTGATATTGATAAAATTTTGAAAATGTCCGGGAGCTTCATGTTAAAATTTTAAAGAATTTTTGCTAATTGCCATAGATTCGACTCGAGCCAGATAGGCAGGGATTTCTTCAATTTGGAAAAAATCGTACGTATGGTTTAGGCGCTAGTGATGTTCACATAGAGACTTACGGACAGACAGACAGACAGACAGAGGCTTTGAAGAAAACCACTTTTTCGCTATCAAAAGTGTATTTCCGTTGAAATCTCGAAATCGAATTTCCGCAGCATAACATAACTTTCCCTATAGAAAGTATAATACTCCGTATATACGTACGTATACGGGAAAGTAATAAATACTGCTGGTCCCATTTTCACCTTCATTTGTTATTTTCAAAAATTGCAGAAAATGAACATTTCAAAAATACAATATTTATGGCAGAGATCGATTGTTAAACAAACATTTACATCTTTAAATAAGGTCATGTACAATTTATTTAA